ATGGGTGTAGGACCCTTGAGGGATGATTAAAGAAGGCTCATATCTGATGATTATGAGATGGCTTGGTTATTAAATTTTACTTTTTCTCCAGTTTTTACTGATGAAGATTTAAGCAGTATTCCACATCTTGAACAGTTGACAGATGATTAACCAAGATGACTGCATTAATTCTGAACTTAAGAAAATATTGGGAAGTTTAAAAAAACGATAAGGCTCCTGGGTCAGATAATATTTCCCCAAGGGCTCTGAAGGAGGTTAAAGATTGGATATGTGACCCACATGCTCCTATTTTTTTTGTAAGTCTTTGAATAGTGGGCAGGTACCAGAGGATTGGAAGTCAGCTAATGTCACTCCTCTTTTCAAAGTAGGTGATAAAAATTGTCCCAGTAATTATAGGCCCATTAGTATTATCTCAGTGTGGGAAAAGTTTTGGGAAGTGTGATAAAAGATGCCTTGCAAAGCCATTTAACAAAGTTTAAATCTTATTGGATAGCTAACATGGTTTCACCAAGGGAAAATCTTGCCTTACAAATCTTTTGACATTCTTTGTAAAGGTTGCTGCTTATGTGAGGGTAAGGGAGACGATTTGGTGTATCAGGATTTTGAGAAAGCATTTGACAAGATGCCACATAAAAGGCTTCTAAAAATAAAAATCTCTATAGATGTGTGGGATAAGTTAGTAAATTGGATAGAAGAGTGGCTGGATGGAAGAAAGCAGAGGGTTGTTAAAATGGAGTTCAGTCAAACTGGATTAATGTTACAAGTGGGGTACCTCAAGGCTCAGTCTTAGAACCTTTGCTCTTTTTGATTTACATCAGTGATATAGATGAAGGAATGGTCAATAAATTACTTACATTTGAAGATGATATTAAAGTTTTTGGTGATTGTGAAGAGGATACTGTTGATTTACAATAGGATTTAGATCATTTAGTGAGTTGAGCAAATAAATGGCAAATGGGTTTTAATTATAATAAATGCAAGATTATGCATGTGGGTTATCATAATTTCAGTAA